CTATTTTCTTTTATTTCATAGGAACACCCTGTTCACTGCGAGTCTAAATTGGCACAATTCTCATTTTGCTCTCCCAAAGCAGTAACAATGGGAACAATAGGGTACTACTAACTATCCTTTATAAGGAACTTATCACTACACACCTTTTCGCTCACACAGCTAATGCAACAGAGGGACTTCACATGGGTCTGCACTCCCTAGTGAATACTTCAAACCTGTTATCTTCTGGTTGGCTATCAGCTATCAAACCTAGGGGTCCTTTTTGACCAATTGGAACATGATTCCGCAGGAACACATACAGGCCAGACTGGTGTAACCACTACGTTCTCAAGGTTCTGTCTCCTAGTAGATATACAGTATCCAGAGAGGCCGGTTGGCATTAGCTACCAAATTTAGGGGCACGAATACCAAGCAAAGCACAACTCCTACAAACACGGTAAGCCGCCAGAGGTCCATGTACACAAGACGTTAGTATCAGTTCAGTGTGCTTCTTCAAAGTTGCCTTATTAAGAAGTTAGCAGAATGGAATTTGTCGCTCAAGTTGGTTAAGATAGGGCACAGTCCAGTCTGTGCATTTAAATGTATAGTTGGTTCTTGGCTTCTGTCGATAATTATCATATCACTTCCAGATAATCGTCCCACCACGCATCTTTTTTGGAGATCACAATCCCAACGTCCTACTGAATCAGCGTACAAATAACTTCCTATGGGAAACAGGGCTTTGCAGATTATGGCCCCAGATACCATTTTTATTTGATTCAACTGCCTTCACCTGGGGTTGAACTAGTATCTTGTAATCTGACCTGTGGAGTGTTAATTACTACACTATGGACCCACAGGTCTATATTTAAAATTTTATCAAAAAACTTATTAAAATTTTAAATATACAGTATAAACAAATTTATTTGCATTGCAATTTAAGAAATAAGCAAAATTGTCAAAATATTTATTAATGAAATTTTTTTAAAAACTATAAATCAGTTTTCTAATAATCTGGACTTAAATCTTATTGAAAATTTTTGAACTATTGTTAAAAAAAATATAAAATTAAAATTATTTAAAAATATTTTAAAAATAAAATAGTTTATAATGAAAAATACTATATTAAAGGTAAAATTGGTAATTTTATTATTTTTACAAAATACAAAAGATTTATTTATTTTAATTCAATTTGTAAATTATGATGAAAATATCAATTTTTATTCAAAGAATGTTTAATTTTTCTTTATTTATTTAATCCATTTTTTAAATAATATAATACAATATAATTTAGTTTTTATTTAATAATTTAAATTAATTAATTTGATAAACATTAGGTTTTATTTTGCATCCAAAAATAATATAAAATAATGTAAATATTAAATTATAAATAATATGAATATTGAATTATAAAATATTAAATTATATTTAATTAAATATAAACATATAATTTCTATCTATGATATTTTATCAAATTTATTTTATTTAAATATAAGATTTCAAATTGATAAAATTCTTATATATATTTAATTTTTATTATAAAGTATTTTTTTATTTTTTTATTTTTTTTACTAAAATTTTATTAGTTTTTTTTAGAAAAAAAAAGCAAAAAAAAAAAAATAATTTTAATTAGTTTAAAATAAAATTTATTTATTCTGTTTTGAAAAAATATTTGTTTATTTTTCTTGAATATTAAAAATTGCTTAAATTTTTTTTTAAGGATTAAATGTTTTTTTAAAAAAGTTTTTTGACTATATACAGTATATTAATATATAAATTAAAATATTGTTTGAATATATGATTGTTATTTTTAATTGATTAGAATAATTTTAATGGGTTTTAATTTATTAAGTTTTTAATCTTAATCAAGTTACATTTATTTTAGCAAATTGATGCTTTGCTTTATTTATAGATTTATCAAATTAAAAGCAATGAATGGGTTTATCGAAAACCATTTTTTATACTATATAAAACGCCAATCAATTTCAATTTAAAATATTGTAAGTTACAATTATAATGAAGCGAATAAAAATTCTACAAGTCAGTGTTGTTTTAAATAAACAAATATACAGTATATACAGTATATAATTAACGATTGTTTATTGTTTGTCTTTAAATCAATAAACTAATCAAGTTAATTTGTAATTTGTAAAGTATAACTGTAATTGACATAAATTATTAATATTTTTGCTTTTTTTCAAGTGCACACGCATTCAACTTATTCCATTACAGTACTTATTTATTAAATATAAAACAACAACATAAATAAAGTTCTCTTTTCTTTTTTCTTTTTTTGAACACTATTGTATATTTTACAAAGTCACATACATATGCTATATACTAACATATAGCACGTAATAAAAATTGTATCTATTCATCAATCAATGTTTATTTTATTATAAATTTACGCCTCTATTTATTATTATAATAATGTATACAGACATACGTTGATGGATCCTTACTTAATTATATAATATTTGAATAAATAAGGTTGGCCCGATTCGTCAAAAAGGGAGAAAACTATTTAGGTCTGTTCCTATACAATTAAAACGTAAACAAGACTTTCAACCCAATTTATTATATTTATCAGTTGATCTAGCTCGAATGAATCTTTCACAAATATCACGCAAGTTCAATGTACCATAATAAGGCTTTTGCAAGATAACAAATGAAACTTCTACTTGAGATAATATAGAAATGTTTATGATCCAATTTGTTTACGGGGAAAGGTATTCAGGTACAGTCATCAAAAAAATTTTTCGCTTTAGTAGTTATTACAAATATTACGCGTGTTCACGTTGTGCAAAACAATAAACATTCCATTAATTGTAATAACCTGACCTTTTGGTTGAGAGATGCGTCTGTGTATAACAATACCCAATTTATTAAAACATTGGTCTAAAGTCGTTAAGATGCATTTTACCTTTAACGCAAATATCAAATAAATATATTCGGTACGCCAAAGTAACAAGAATGTTCTGTGAAGATAACGAATCAGCCATATTGTTCGAGATAATTTGATGTTGTGATTGAATATTTAAGAAAAAAAGTTTCGAGTACAGTCATCAAAGTACATTGATCTTGTGATGAAAAAGTTTTCAGGGAATACAATGTAGAAATAGACTTGTCTTATCGACAATATCTCACTTCATTATTTTACAGTATATTAGAAAAAAAAAAAAAAAAAAGAGGGAGCAAAGAGAAAGCCCTATTTAATTGGTGTAATCATCGCATTTTCTGTTTTCTTAAGATTGTGTGTTACCTTATTGAAGCAAGAAAACCTTTCTTTACGTTTTTGGTTGCAAGTTTATTCTCCAATTTCATTATATAGCGTTTACATTACGCGTCATCTGTGTTTTTTCTGTCCTACCTACAATTCAAATGTTATATACGTAATATATGAGTATATATAGTGTACGCGTGCCTATTTAATCACGTGATATTACCAAATTGATCGATCAATGACCATTTTAGGATGATCTTAATTTTGATAATAAAGCTTATAATGGAAAAAAAAACATGCATTCTTTTTTGAGGCGACATATGTTCCGATGATTCGATACATTTACAATAAGCTTTCCTTATCATATTTTATTACTTTCGTAATGTTTATTATTTATTATACATAGGGTATTGGTAATTTAACTGAATTTTAATTCCGTGAATTGTGGGCTTCGCAGGGCTGTTCTCTAAAATTGTAAAATGCGTCAACTTGAAAATAAAGTAGTTTATTTATCACTTGTAAATAATAATAACAATTATAATAACAGGTCTTTTATTTTTACGCAACAAAGGAAACAATAAAAAATGTCAATTTGTTTTGCATCTTATCACGACATACAATGTCTTACAAATATCAACCGTGCCTGACGTCTTTTCAAAAAGTGATATGAAATGAGTTTATCCAAAATCTTATTTAATCCCTAGAGCGACCATTCTACAGATTTCTTTAGTTCTTTCTTTTTTATCGTCTTCACCTTTAGAACTATATTCTACCGTCTCGCCAGCTAGCTTCGTATTTAGAAAGCTACTAACGTTTCTAAAACAATGGCCAACGACATTTGCAATTCTCACGTAAATTCCTCAAAAACCGAAGAGTTTGTCCGTACGTCGTTCAGAAGGCCTCCGTTTCCGCCATTGATCGACCCCTCTGAAATTGCAAAGAAGCGTATTTCCAAACAAAAAGATCCTAAAAGGATCAACTCTCGAGGGCCGAATTGTTTTATGATATACCGGTTATACTGTACCCTCACAAATAAAATTTCGCGAAGTCGAAAAAGAGAAAGAATTCACATGACCATGCTATCTACGATGATCGCAGAATTTTGGAATAGCGAGCCGCAAGAAGTTAAAGACCATTATAGAGTTCTTGCCGCCCTGACCGAAATTGAACTGTGCAAGCTGAGGCGATGCCATGAGATTTATGTTTTGCCTTGCGAGAAGCCTGGTCAAAAGCATCAAGACCCTGATGAAAACTTCGGCAAAAGAGATGACGGTAGAATACACAAAAACCAAGCTTTGGAATTAACCTTGGGTGAAAATTCATCTGAAGATGAAATTTGGATTCCCGTTAATTACGAACCGATAGTGATGACTAGATGTAAGGACCATGATCTTCTTTATTGTCCTTGCCATGACAATCACATTTAAGGACGAGCTATATGAGGATATTGGATTTTTTATTATGGAAAAATTAAGGATTTATAACTGTAAGTACTATATGCACTTTATATGAAAGAAGCGCAAAAAAATCGAATTCGTTTTTATCTTAACATTTCGCGAATAACAATATATTATCGTGGATAAATACGGGAGACTTATAAAACCGAGCTTTATGTAAATCGCATCGTCTTGTTAAATCGAATATAATAAAAAATTGCTTTGTCCGTTTTTTAATACGTAATGTATAACAATGATTAAGATACAATCTTTATCAAATGACAACATATTTTTTTACGACCGGGTTTTGTTTAACCGAAAACAATGTACCGTACTACTTAAATATTATTTTAGTGCAGTAAAAATTTTGTCATTGACAAGTCGGTCAACTCCAAGTCGTGCCACAATTGGCCAGTTCTACGTTTTCTCTGGCATCTTTTTTAATAGTGTTCTTTAAACATAACACGTGTTCTTGCAAGTCCAACGATAACTATTTGATTTGATTAAAGTTCCATTATTCATCATTACTTTCGACTTACGGTTAAACCATCCTGATTCTAAGCCTATCTCTCCTCCATCTAATTTTTTTATTCGCTTTAATAATAATAGTAATTAATATTGGTAAGGAACCGAATACTGTAGCTATAATATTATAAAGATTAATTATGCATTCAGAAATAAATATTTTTGTTATGCTTATGATTTTTTTTATATAGAAACAAATGTATTGGAAAAAACAAACCATACACATTTCAGTGCGATATACAGTAATAGACATGTTTATTTAGGAATATCCTGTACTGTAAGATGTTTTTTAAAAATTCTTAAATCCGTTTGTTCTTTACCCGTTTGTTACAATACCAAAAACCAAAACCTTTTGCGTATACAGTATCCTTTATCTTCCGATTATTATATTGAATTTTTAAACGAAATTTTTTTACAAAAAATTGTTAACCTTTTCAAACAGTCTTGCTTGAATAGACAATTACATCTTTAAAATTATATGCACTGTATATGATGTATGTTGTTATCAATTGTTTCTTAATTTTATTATATATCTGCACATATTTATCATTTTTTCTTGCTTAATAAACTAAAATAGCATTCTGAAAATTTCATTTAAAAAGAAACATAAATATATATAGATAGATATATATTTGGTTAAAAACTATCCAGTTTGCTGTATTTTTCATAATTCCCTTGAAACATTCAAGCTGTTTGCGAGTATCTGTTGATTCCACCTATAACTAGTATGTATCGGGAAAGCATAGTTCTTTGATTTTCATCAACGTTTATCGGCATTCTTTTTTTCATATTTCACACATAAATTAACCCATATACGTACAGTACTTATTCGTCCATAATTTCAAACCTTACAATTCTGGATCAGAGTTTACACTGTAGTACATGGATTTCGTTGGATCTCCTATGCTTTTTTAACTCTACTTCGGTCATCTCAGCAAGATGTCGATAATGTCCTTTAACCTTCAAAGACTCATTTTCCCAGGATTCTGCAATCATTGCGGATAATTTGGTCATTTGAATCCTGTTTCTTTTACCACGTGACACGGTGTTAATCGAAGTGCAATACATACGGTATATCATGAAGCAATTTGGACCTCTTGAATTAATCCTTTTTGGATCTCTCATATTGTTAATACGTTTTCTTGCTATCTCCGCGGGAGTTATTTCAGGTGGATATTTTGGTTTCTTGAACATAATTTGCGCAGACTGGCTGACCTTTTTAGAGGTCACACGTGAAGTATTTGGCATTTTCTCTTAAACCAACAATCCCTTTTTGAACCTTTAGGGTATAATCAAACTCTGAATAAAGAATAAGAAAAAAAAAAAAAAAAGCCACTGAAGTTAGTTTTGTTCCGAGGGTTTAAATAAGTTATTAGATAATCTCGTTTCATGAAAAGGAAGGTAATAATTCTCTTTAATTCCTGTACACGTTTCCACTTTCTCACAAATGTTGGGATCAGTAGATAGTCGTAAGATAACGTATGTTGTGATGCGATGCAGAATTCAAAAACATTCGGTTGCTTCTTTTTTCTTTTCTTTTTTTGGCGCGCAGAATAGGAATTTACTATCGACAAATAATAAATGCCATCAATATTTGAATATATTACCTTTTAAGCCCAAAGAAGTATTCGGCAGAATTTGATGTGTTTCACAATTTTAGGAACGCTGAACCTCTATAACCTCACGGAATTAATTGAACGACCGATAATCTTACATATTGTAATATATACGTATAAGTGGTATCAGCGATGAATTGTCGGAGTATGTGGTCCATCTACATTTCGCCTCAAAAAAAAATGCATGATTTTTTGATCATTTATGGGCCTATTATCTGCGATTTAAACAATAATGGTAAATGATCTGACGATCACATGATAAGGTAATTACGCGTCATGTACCAAATTAGTTCTGAAGTCGTTAGTGTAACATGAAGAAAAAAATTGCTCTAAATCGACGCGTAATTCGTGCGATGTGAACGCTATGGAACAATTGTAAACAAGAATGCAATGAGTAAGAGGCGAATAAAATTTTCAAGAACTTATCGATTCTACTGATATTGTCAATATCAGATAGCCATCATGTTGTAACAATCGAATAATATACAGTACATTATATACAATTTATACATATCCAACTATAAAAAGAACGATGAATGCTTAACCAAAATTTTGGTATAACCAACTATGTATGAAATATTAAATCACAAGATCAATGTGTTTTGATGACCGTAGCCGAAAACCTTTTCCTGCAGACCGACATTGTAGTATAAATAAATGTTCCACCTTTAGATATTTTTTATCAATTAACTTGTATGTTTAAATTATCTTGAGTAATACAACTTATTTGTTATTATGGCTTACTGTGAACGTGTTTATATTTACAAAATATCTGCAATGAAGGCGGAATATCCTGATAACCACACTGTAAATAGACGCATTTGGAATACTTAAAGAACTCATAACTTTAATTGATATTGCCAATGCGTTTTGTCATGAGACAGAGATACTTATTGCATGCGTAGTATTTATAACTATGTGATGAAAACGAAATATATTGTACTTACCTAAACTCCTTTTTTCAATAAATTAACGCTGACTAATATCAAATATATTTCATTTTCTACCTTTCGAACCTTATTACAGTATGGCATGAAAGAACGAATACAAACATTCCTCTCATCATTTCTAGTTTGATCGAAATGAATAAAAAAAATTTTTCTTTTTTTTTTTTGAAAAAAAAACCTTATGCGCCGGTTATCTAGTTTGGATAATCATTTTGCCAGTATTTAAATCAACGTGTTTAAATTTGGCAAAAACGCAGGCATTTATTTCATAATTATTTTTGTTATACTGTATATAAAACATCCGATATTAAAATAAAAACCAAACCGTAATATAGCATATCAGACATATTATTACAATAAATATTGATGCATAATATTGCTAAAAAAAAATTTAAATGCGGAGATTAATCAAATGAATTTGGTGAATAATTGATTTAATAAAACTCATCCAACGATCAAAATATCATATGATGCGAAATATAATTAATAAAAATAAGAAAGGGATGATGAAAACAAAACAACAACAACACCATCAATAACAATAATACAATTATGCACGAATATTGTGACAAATTCATACAAGAAATCAGAATTTTTATCAAAGAGAAAAGCGGTCAACAATCGGATCAAATATACAAAGTTGAAACAAGAATATGTTAAACAATCTATAGATATAAAATGTCGATAATAAATAAATAACAACAAAATTATTATTATTTATTTATTTTTATTTGCTTTGAACTATTGAATTATCATATTTGTATAATACAAAATGATCTTTTGATTAAAATCTTATTTATTAGATTTAATTTACCGTATCATAAAAGTTCAATAAAATTTAAAAACAAAACCTTTTATTAAACATATATTTTTGATGTACAGTATATGTCATGTTTTTTATTTATTTAAAAAATATAATAAATTTTATATATTTAAAATAAAAATCAAATAATTTTTTTGGTAAATTATTTATTACAATATATGGGGTGTTGCAAAATTTTTTTGGAATTTTTTTATTTATCTGTTATTCAAAACTATTGTATAAATATTAATAAAAAATATATCAAAATAAAGTTTAAAACCAAAAAATTATAATAATTTGAATTTTATATAAAAATATTTTTCAAGTATTAAAAATTGATTACAAACAAAAATTTCATTAAAATTATTATAAATTTATAAATTTCAATACAACAAATTTAAAAAAATTGTTAATTCAATTTATAGAGTTTTTACTTTTTAAAAAAATGTTTTTTGTATAAATTTTAGTTTATAAATTTTTGTCATTTTAAATTTTAAAATAATGTTTTTTTAATATTAAAAATAAAATATAAAATTTCTTAACCTTGTAAATTTAAATAAAATAAATATAAATATTGATTATTGATAACAATAATAATATACCTTATAAAGTTTTTTATTTTTATTTTTTAATTAATTATTAATTAAAATATTAAAAATTTTAAAAAAATTTTACAAAGTTTTACAATGTACTGCATAATCTTATTGGTCTTCTAAAGATTATATTCATATAATAAAAGATAAAAATAAAACAATAACAAATAGAAACCAAATAATAAACATTATTTTTTTAAAGAATAACTATATTATATGCATAGATTTTATTAATCAATTAAAATTATATATTTTATATATAAACAGTCTATTAATTATTGCTAATTAACTACAGTAATTCAATTTATTTAACTGGATATATCAACTTATATCTTGAAAATAGATTTATATATTAGTAAAAATTTAAGAATATAAAATTTTAACATTAGTTTTAAACTATTTAACCTTGATTTCTAAAACAAAAAGCTTTGAAAATTTTCTTAAATTACAAAGAGAAAGTTTAAAAAATATCTATTAATTATTTTAAATTCATTACTAAAAAATTAAAAAAATTTTTTGTAGCTTATAATAATATAACTATTTTTATTCTATGAATTTCTATAATATTAACTAATTTATTTGAAATAAAAAAATTTTTAAATATTTATTTGTTATCTATTTATTTATGGTCTTGCTACTTATGCTTAATATTAAAAAATAATTCAAATAATATAAATAAAACTAATTTCTTATGTAAAATATTAGATAATATAAGATAAGCAATTAATGATAATAATTTTCAATATTATATAATTTATTCTAAAATAAATATATTTTGAAAATTAAGATATAATATAATTTATTAATTAAAATAAAAATATATTAAACTAATATTGTCAAAATTTTTTTTTAAAAACTATAATATATAGTATATAAAACTATTGTTTTAGATTATATGCATATATTAAATCTTTTTTTTTTAAATATATACTATATTATATAAAAGAAATTTAATATGAACAATATAAAAATAAAATGATTCAAGTCTTTGAAAATTGATTTTTATCAATTGCTCAATTTCAAGACTTAAAGATAATGAAAAATATATTTGATATAACTTATTTAATTACTGGTTAATTGTGAAACATAATAATAATAATAATTTTTATATTGAATAATTTATATAATAATTATAAAAAGCCAAAAATATTAACAAACAATTATATCAGGTTTATTATAAATTTCTTCAAATATACATTACATTTCAAGTTAAATTATTTAATAACAATTTTATAAATAAACTTTAGATAAGTAATATTAAATTAAATTAATTGCATTTGCTTCAATTAATAATACTTTTTATTATATATATTTATTAATAATTAAATTTAACAATTTATTAAAATATTTGTTTCATATTTATAAAATAATTTGCAATTTTCAAAGCTTTATATCTGGTATTATTATTTAATACTTGCAATAAAAAAATATAAAAAAACAAATAGTATAACTACAGAAACCTATAAAATTCTTTATAAAACATATATTAAAAATTTATATTACATGTCTAAATAAAAAAGATTATATAATTATGAATTTATTTTTTTTAATTTTTATTATTTATTACTTATTAAAACTTAATAATTAATTGTTTTATATTAAACAAAAAAAATTGATAAAAAATGAAGTCTAATAAAAATATTAATAAATTATAGAATTTTATAAACTTTTATAAATATTAAAATTAGAAGATTTAAATCTCTTTATATAAAAAAATAAAGATAATTTGGATTAGTTACAAATTAAGGGATTTAAAATATCTTTATAACAAGTCTTAATAAATTTTTTGAAGAAAAATCAATTAATTTTAATAATAATTATTATTAATTAGAAGTATTTTCTTTAATAATATTAAAAGTTAATGATATTATTTATTCTTTATTAAATTTTCATAGAAATTTGTCTTTTTCTAATGTAGTTATAAGTGGAAAAAATAAAGATAAAGAAATTAATTAATATGGTTTGATAAGAATTAAATTTAAATTATATTAATAAAAATGATAGAAATTATTATATTAATTTAATATTTTATTTAAATATTGTTAATATTCAAATTTTATAAATTCAAAAATAGCAAATTATTTAAAATTGATTATATTTATTAATATTAAGAAGATGATAAATTATGAAAATATCAAAAATTAAAATTACTTGAACCATATAGTTGTATATCAATAAATAATAAGATAAAAGCATATATATAGTTCTAAGATTTAATAAAAAAAAACAAATATTTAACAAATAATTATATGGTTTAATTTTAATCTATAAAATCAAATAATATCGCTTA